TCATAGATGCAACCTTCTTAGATCACTGACTTTAAACCTCCATAACTCCTGATCTAACTGACAGATATCTTCTAGCAGACTTCCTACTAACTCGAAGGAGGCTATTCTACCAGATTGGCAGATAATCCCTCTGTCAGCAACTCTTGGTTATTCTAGGTAATAGGTTATAGTTGCAGTTCAGTATTGGGAATAATTCCCAAAGCCAAGATACATCTCTGGGCCTAGTTGTGACACTCTGCGAAGTCTATTGGCTTCTTTGATGGTGTCCTTCAGAGTTCTAAACTCTTTCTTTGGTAAAACAACTTAAGTATTAGAATGATACTTAAAACAAAACATAAAACAAAACTCTTAACTAAGTGCACATACTAGTTACAATATACTTAACTTTGTATTAACTAAAACTGATATATCTTTCCACTTTATCTTTACTTCATCATAGAATATGATAATACAAAATCTCTCATCACAGGTAGTTTCTCAATGCTTTGTATTACCTGGAAAGTACCCACTCTGCCTGCGGGTCCTCTTCTATCTTATTATAAAGTATAAAGCATGGAAAATGTTTTGAGTATCCCTTGGGCAGTCTGAAACACTAAAGTTCGTTGCCAGCAGACTATTCCAAATATAGAAAATACTAGGCCAAGTGTAGATAGCGTGTGATATAGAATAGTAATATCAGGTATTCTCTCACATACTTGAGAATATCCAATACTCGCAAGACCTACTATGTCAAGTTCACAAAAGCCCCTTTCTTCTCTCTCTCTCAATCAAGTTCTAGGACAAAAAGCAATATCCCGGAAGCGATGCAGAAAAAGTAAGCATGACGCCAGCCCAACCACTTCTGCCTTCCAAGAAGCTGGCAGGACCTCCCCTGCGCTTGTCAGCCAGACCGCACCTAGGAAAGATAATCATCAGCAGCCATATATTCCACTTGGTCCCCAGATAGAGCATGTTGGACAGTCAATACTGCCATTTGATACCTCCGAAGCTTCTAAATTAAAAGTCTTCGAGCTCTTCTGGGATCGGGAAATTGTGAGTGTGCTTGTGGAAGAGACCAATATATATGCAGAGGCCAAGAGAGCTGGAAAGCAGATTCCTGGTAGGGAAGGATTCCGCCGCCCATGGAGGAAGGAAACAGATACAGAGATCAGGGTCATTTAAGCTATTTTAATATATATAGGAGCAAAGTGAGGAAGTGGGAGTAATAGGTTTTAGAAGGAGGAAAGAGAAAATAGGATGGTTTTTTGGGCAATGGGCTCTGAAAGATTTAGTCAAATCAAACGGTATCTTCATATTTCAGATCCAGCCTTGCAACTCTCTTGTTCTGAATGGTTCCAAAAGCTTGAACCAATTAGCAGCATGCTCCAGTCTCACTCATAAAAATATTACCTACCTTTCTCGAACATTACTGTCGATGAAATGATGATAAGATTGGTGGCCAGAGTCATCAGACATATCGCATGCCAAGTAAACCTATCACAGAGGGATACAAGGTATTTGCATTATGTGATATTGGGTATACCTATAGTTGGATTTTTGCCTCTCAGTCTAACTCTATTAATGGGTTAATTCCTCAAAGCAATCTTACCCCCACAGGCTCCACAGTCTTTCAGTTGGCCTCCAGTCTACCTTACTCTTCAGGATTGTACTTTAACTTGTATATGGACAACTATTTTCCTTCTCAAGCTCTCATGGTCAAGCTCCAGGACCTTGGAATTGGAGCTTGTAGGACTTTACGAGTAAACTCATCTGCTTTCCCTCGACAGCTACATGATAGCAGAAAGAATATCCCATAGAATGAGGTATCTGAAGAACCAGCAGATGCAGAGGGTAAGGTGCTTGCTGTCTAGCGGCAGGACAATAGCGCTGTCCACTTTTTAAGCACCATTCATTCACTCGAGGACTGAATTATTTCCGAGCATAAAAAGCCACACAATTCAAGCAGCAATGGCCCTACCATCCGCCGTGCATTTGGGTCTCAAGAACGTGTCAATATTCCTATTCCTGTTATTAGGAACGATTACAATCATTATAAGATAGACATTGATGTTGCAGATCAGTATCGCAGCTACTACTTTACCCAACTGAAATGTCTACGCAGCTGGCCTCCCATTTTCTTCTGGCTTCTTGATACCACAGTAATTAATTCCTACCTCCTACTATGTCGGATCTCCTCTACTAATCTTTTCTCTGCGAGATCTTCTTCCGAGTCTACAGCCTGTGATTACCTCCACTCTTCTCGCACATTCCGCGTTTCTCTCTCTAAGTCTATTATTAGAGCCTATGGGTCCATGCAGCCAGGGCAAGCTCAGAAGTCCTACTATACCCGTAAAACAACCTCTCCCCACTACAGTCTTCTTCAAAATAATACCTCTCTCCTACCAGCTACCGGAAGCAGCAACCAGCATAAGTTTGTACGAGTGAGATCAAGGGTGGGATGTGCTGGGTGTCGTTTTATTTTGCGAGGTATGAAGCGAAAAGGTGTACGGACACCATTGACATGTTTTGCCTGCATGGGACCGGGATGTGCTTTTTCTCTCTGTCAATCATGTTATTCCAGTCAGTACAAGAAGCTTCAATCTTGATTTATTTTTCTTCTTCAAGTTCTATTTCCATGATACTAGAAGTTATAGATAGCATATTGTGTATGTGCTCAGTTGCTACTATTGCGACCACAATCATTTGATATTACTCAGTGGTTTTGTAAGCGCCAAGTTCACTAATTTAGTATAGCGCAGAGCATCTTGCAGCTGGCAACGAATTTTAGTGTTTCAGACCGCCCAAGGGATAATAGTTGCTTGATGGATACATGCTAGTAGTAGTGGCAACAGACCTCTTCATATTCAATGACCTCACTTCCAAGACTAGATTTGGGTTACTATGCCTTTTTAGCTTTGACAAGATCCACCAATCATATCCGTTCCCATCACTTACCCTTACACCCTCGTACAACCACCATTCAAGTACTCCAAAGTGAGTAGACAATAGGGATTTCAGTATGGGTTTGATTGTTTATCCTAGGGTGCAGATTTGGTGTGCTCAGCACCTATAATCAGCTGGCTCGTCCCCAGTATTTGAGGAAAACGCCAACATCTCTTCAACAAGTGGAAAACCAGTCTACATGAGCTGTCAACAGTGCATCGTCTTGGATGGAGCAACCGCAACTTTTGGCTTGCCTTCAGGCTCAACTAAAAGTGCTTGCCACAATTCACCTCGAGGGAAACCAAAATTGACGATTGCCCCCGTTCCATCATGACGGTTTCTCCGTCCAACCCTCTCCTCGAGCGTCCCCCTAGGGCGGCGCGTGGATATGCCTACGAACTAAACCTACAAGGCGAGATCCGATCGCAAACCCCTCAATGAGCTTCGCAGATGGCTATGATATGCGAGACTCACGAAACTACAGAAACCTACACCAGCCCGGAAATACCACCGTAATACCCCTCAGCAACCACTTTCCCATACCACCAAGGCACCACAATCCAATTAATGACAAGCCTCGAAACATCACCACCAGCCCAAATATCCTGATCATGATAACTCCACCGCAGGTGCCGCACGGAGGCACCAGAACTGAGCCAGCCAGTCTCGATGCCTCCCCTCCCTCACAGCAATCAGCAAACCATGGAAGAAAAAAAACCCGAACGGGTATCCGTACAGCAAACTTGACATATCATACTCATGACAGTTGTCCCACTACCCTACTTGGTGATCCTCACCAAAATGTCGTACCCAGCCATCGGTGAGGCTCACAGTGGGGATCCGGAAGAGGTTACCCCGCTCTAATGCCATGCGGACGTTCCATACAGCACTGTACTCGGGTAGGTTACTCGAAAATATGCTCCTTCCCGCTCCCCTCCACCACTCCCGCCGGATGAAGTGTATCCGGCGACCATTTCCCCATAATTCTGCCTCCTATGGGAATACCGCAGGACACATATCGCGCAAGGGATACTTCGTCCCGCGAGCTATCATCGTACTCGAGTCGCCAGACTCGAGTAACTTATATCCCTTGCACAATACCAGTACTCGCGCGGCCAAATTGAAGTCGGAACCCGCATGGAGTGGCGATCGGCGAGTCGATAAACGTGTAGTCTGAGAAACTATATCATCCGCCAAACTGAGCCATGTGACCGTATATACCGAAGAAAAAAGCCTGCTCCGTGAATAACTAGAATTCATCGTAGCTGGGCCAACCTGCATACCCGCCCATCAACACCCCCCGATATATCTCCAATTCTATGATACATCCAAAGAGCTATTCCCCCATGAAAGAGGTCGGGCGTGGGGGCACCCACGCCTGCATGAATACATGCGCAACCCCGTTCCCCAACCCTCCTACCCCTCCCTCCACACTTCCCTACCGTAGTCCCTGAAACCGCCCCGACCAATAGCACCCACTTCTACACATCGAGTGAGTTGTTATGACACTCACAAATTCTAGCCCTTAACTTACCCACCAAGCACACCCACCCATTATCCATGCAAAGCGCCAAGCATTCAAAAAAACATCTATGAGAAAATATCTCCTTGCGCCAGCCCGCCTGTTCTTTCTATCCTCGAGCGTTACTTGCACCGCGTTGCGGTTCAGTTCCATCCCCGAGAAAGGGCACAGCGCTGGAGTGGACGTGACCCTTGGATGCGAATTAAGCAGTCAGTATCGGCAGTGGGGTGGTGAGTGGGTGTTTTGTCTCGGATCCTTACTTATGACACACGAGGTGGTCAATTAAGAGGGGGTTTTGGAGGGAGGAGGGGGGAGGGTTGGGTTGGGTGTGGTGGGGTATATGGTACTGGGGGCTTATGGGAGGGGGGAGGGAAGCGGCAGTATGATAGCATGTACGATATCATATCATATCATCTGATGCCAGGCTAGCCTCTCCGACTGATGCGAGCGCATCCCACGCATTCCGGGAACGGCGGCAGTACTTCCTTGGTATAAACTCATGATGGGTTTTCTCCTTTCTTGTCATGCGGTAAAAAAAGGGGGGGAAAGACAAATGCGATAAGATAGACTCTTTATGATAGGCCTAAGATCCATCTTTTTTTTTCTTCACAAATTGAATTGTGCAACTATGTCTAACACGAGTGAGTACCGGTACAGTACATCGGTAGCGGTAGATTTGCCCACCCACCGCTTCACCCAATCCGATTTCTCCAACAGAGCATACCCTATATACCCTTCTCCGTCCGTAAGAGATTTTTTTCCCCTAGAAATCCTGCGGAATATCGCCGCGTCGTTTGTCGCGAAAGTTGTATTTTCCCTAGCGTGAATATCAATCAGCACTTGCCCCCATCTCCTGTGGGCCACAAACCTCAGTCTTATACGCCAATGTCAACAGCGCGGCAGGTATAACGACAGCGTAAATAAACGATACCTTCGCCGTGCGGGCATTCCATCGAAAGTACTTGTAGCGGTTCGTGTTTAGGTCTGCGGGGAGTTAGTGATCAGTACCCGATGGGGGCGCGGGGCGGGAAGGGGAGACTGACTGGCATATTTGATGAGTGCGGGGTCTTGGTGGAGGACTGTTGCGTTGTTCGTTTGTTAGTAAACTTTTTATTAGGTTGGTGAAGGAGAAGAAGAAGAAGAAGGGGTTGGTTACCTTCCCGGTAGTGTCCGCCGGCCATGGTTTTTTGTTGTTGTTAGATCCTTTGGTGGTGGCTCCTGGTAAGTTTGAGGTGATGTTGGGGAAAGTGAGTTTGACGGGCCGTCTTGGCGGTGGGAGTTGTGGCCAGGATGTTTTGCCGCGGTTAGTGTACTGTCAATATCGCACTCGAGTACGGTGCCGGTACTCGTACTGTAGGAACCGGGTAGGTTGCTGGATAATTTGCTTAGTGGTGTAAATTCTGAGAATGGAATGTGCGGGAGCTTGCGCTTGAGTTAGGCCATAAGTTATCAAGCGTTTGCGCTTCTGCCTAGATAGTCATATAATCTCACTCGATAGCCCAATCTTTTCGGGGAAAACCAGAGTAGAATCCTATCTCGAGTCCCATAGTAGATGGCTCTCGAAGAAATCACGATATGCATGGAAAGGCATGTAAGGATCCCAAACCACCCCCGCCCCCCATGAACACTCGCAAGCTAAGGGATTGGGAGCCATACCTCTCCCTCGGATTCACCTATTACCGCAACTAACATATACAATACTTATATCATGCTAGATAAGGAATCCAAAGCCCCTGGTTTTCCGAATCAATACTCCACACCGTGGGGACCACCTCTCATAATATTATCATATCACAACTTGCAGCCAGCCGTAGCAGAGATGTGATCCGAAAAGAATCGAATCCACCCGCAGCACGGAGCATCTGAAGAACCCATTCCTCCACACACGCCAACGAGATATGCAGACCATGTCTGAAACGAAGCTAGTGGAATCGAATACCAATCAAAGCACCGGTGTTTCCGTCGTGTACGCTGCCCGTATACGCGCGCTCCTTCGGCCACGGGTGAATGAGTGGATGAGTAGATGGCGTTATGAGAGGTAGCGGGTTAGGAAGGAAGGAAGGAAGGTTTCACTGCTTAGAAGACGACCATTCCTCCATCGGTGGGAAAAAATTTTAGGCCATCTGTTCAACATCTACTCGTACTCTCCGATACCCAGTCCGGAGAGGAAGAGTATCATACCCCCTACTAAACTAAGCCAGGGATAAAAGGCTGCATTTTCAGGCGCTACCCAAGATCCATCAAGCACTCCAAAATCCGTGAGTGTAGTTCGGTCTTGGGAAGTCTATCATACGACACCGAATGATATAGTTTCCAGAGTTGAGTGAGGGTAGATGACTCACTGTTCCTGTAAGTTATGTATGATATCATACCGTAAAGGAGAAATTATGATTTAACAGAGTATCACTCGTACGCTATGTTACTCACTCGCGGTGATTTCGCAGACAGAAAATAGGCGATTGTGCTCAAACATGATAGAATATGTAGACCTCGGGGTGGCAAGTGCTTGGAGTGAATTCACTACAAGGACTAAATCCAAACTGTATTCTGCGTAACTGAAAAGAAAAAGAAAAAAAGAGAACACATACAAACATGGCGGTATAGAAAACTTTTTTCTGGGTATATTTTTCGGCTGCAAGGTAAAATAGGAAATAAATCATGACAAAATCACATAGAATCCTTTCTGAAATAGCTCTACTAAATCCACAATCATAAACAAGAAGCGTACGCTGAAGAAGATGAAAAAATAAAGGAAAAGACAAATAATGGATATCTCGAAAAATCAATCCTCAACAACTTAAAAGTCCACAGCTGCTCGCTCTCGACTGGCTATTGAGTACTTTTCACCCATAGAATTAGAGTATATGATTATGGCGCATCATAGGCCGCCGAGGTCTCTCCTCCCTCGGTGGTCTAATATTCACCGGGGGCACCGGCAGGACCCTCTCGAACTTGAACCCGTTCTCGACGAAGCGCATACAATTGCACCCACAGCCAGTGGGACACTCGGCAATACCCTCCTTGGAAAACCAGGCTTCGTGACAATCCGCGTGCGCCACGTGACCGCACCGCAAACAAGGACCATAAAGCCCTCTGATGATAACATCACAGACGCAACAAGTCATGGTGATTTGCCTTCTTTTGCAGGCCTTGCACTCGCCTCTGGCTCCCTTGGTCACGTCCAGGACGGCGCCGCACTTCGAACAGTGTCCTGCGATCTCGAGGCCATCCCAGCCATCGGCATTGCCGCGCTTTCTTCCGAACCCAACGAGTTCCCCTTCTTCATCCACTTGATTGCATTTCAGTCCATTGAACTGCAATATTTCGAGTCTCTGTATTTGAAGATTCCAGACATAGAGAATATCCGCGTAGTTTTCCCGGTAAGATCGGTATTGTTTCGTTTTGCCCGGGTCGAGGAATGGGATATTGACATTGCCCTCGTCATCGAATTTGTCCAGGTTCATCATGGTAATTCTCGCGGAGGGTGGGTGCTCGTGATCTGAATTGGTCTCAGTAAGGTCCTCACTAGGAGGACCCTTTGATCCGCTTCCAAAAGTCGTGATGGGGCCCCAGGTGACCCCTGAAGTAGTAGCATTAGTGGAGTTTCCCATCAGACTTTCAGTTGGACTAAGCCTCTTCCGAATTGGGGGACTCGCTGTCCCAGGGCCAAAGGCCCTCACGAGCCCGGCGCTAAAGTTGGCAGCCATCGCAGCTGTGGATCTCCTGTAATGGTGGGTTTGCTCAGGAGACGATGAAAGGCTGGGGTAAGATGAAAAACCGTCTACGTCAAGTCCGTAATTTCGAAGTGGAGGTGTTGTTCCGGTGGAATACGGCATGCTGGGATCACTATTGAAGCCACCACCATTGGATGACCCAAAGGAGCCATGTGTCATTGGAGTCATGGATGCTGAATGGTGTTGCGGGGGAATGGACAACATCATCGACTGAGTTTGACGAGCAAGTTCAAGACTCGAAAAATATTCAAGGGTGTATGCTGTTACTTTCCCAGGCAAAGGTACGTCCTGCGAACGTAAATATTTAGTTACTGATGGAAGAGGAGAGAACCCTACTTCAAAAGGTATTTTAAGCCCACCCTCGAACTCATCCACAGGGTCAACCTCGCAGAATATGCAGCTCAACATAGCCAACATTTGCACGTCTGCTTTCCTCTGAAAATAGTTGAAGAGATCTCCCACAAGCCACCTTCCACCCAAGGGATGAGCCCCCCATTTTATTTTCCCCCAATATGCCACTTTAATTGAATCTTCTTTAGTTCCGACATTGGTAACCGCAGTCATCTTGTTATCCATCTCTAAACCTAGGCCGCTATCACGCCTTCCTCTCGCTAATGTTGCTCTTCTTGCCATGATAAGAACCTTATCCTCAAGCCCATCGTTGTCTTCATTGCCTTCGCCGTCAGGGTCTCCACAGATCTCCAGGGGCACCTCGTTGCAAAGAACCATTTCTATAAGCCGCCACACATCCGCCATATCGATATATCCGTATTTATCGGCCACACTCGCGTTATGGCGACAGATTTCGGGACCCTCTCCGGAAACTTTGTACTCCACAGCAAGCTCTCTTTTGGCAGGGAGCAAATATGAAAAGTCGTGAATAGACACCACATTCTTGGGCTTACTAGGATTAAAGCCAATTATGGTTTTTACCCCAGTTCCGGTGCTCCTTTGGGTGCTCCTGTCCGTACTACCCCCTCTTCTAAACCCCTTCCCAATATTCCCGTTTAACCTCCAGCCCAAGGTCGGCCTAAGAGGACCTCCAGAAATTGAATCGTCACTCTCGTCACTTGAAGAACTGCTGCTGGTGCTGTAGCTGTTTTCAGAAGCGTCCCCATCAGCTTCACTTAGCCAGTGCCCTCTCCTTCGTGGCCCAGTGGTGGAGGTGTAAAGTCGTCCGAAACTTTCCCAAAGCCGGCCGCTAGGCTGTCTAGTCCTTTCGCTATCTCTAACTACTAGTGAGCTCAACAAGCTCCTTGGGCCCAGTCTGTCCTCCTTAGGTGGAAAGAAGCAGACCAATCTTCCATCATTAGCCCATATAGCTCCACAGGCTCTTGGAAGTGGGACACTGGCTTGGTTATTAATCTCAGGCAAGCCTCCCATCCCTTCCTCCTCCTCAGTACTCCTGATACCTAGCCCAACCGCCCCGTCATCGTCATCACTACTGCTCTGACCTTCGTCTTCACTTCCGTCCCACGTGGCATCTTTAGCTCTCTCCCCTAGCAGATAGCACAAGCACGGCTCCAAACAAACCCTTGATTTTCCAATATGGGCTTCTGCTATCTTTTTAAGGTTCGCATCAATAACCTCCAAGTTATCATCCGGGATAGAGTTGGTCTTCTCGAGCGTGAATATAGGCAAACTCTTTGCATCTCCAGGGTAGTCCGACGGAAAAGTGACATCGGCTCTAAGAAATACCCACTTGTTTTCCATCCCCCAGGGCCCCGTTAAGGATACAGTGCATGTTCTCGCAGCTATGTTAACCTTCTCAAAGTTGATCTTTGGGAACTTTACTCCAACCAAAGATATCTCATCCCCAAGAGTTTCGGGGCCATCCCATCCGACTCCAAACAAGCCATTACCTCTCGTGCTATTCCTGCTCTCCTCACTCTCACCCCCACTCCCTGGGATTCTCCTTTCTATCTTGACACCTTTCATCCATGTAATAGGATTAATCTCTTTTCTCCGCTTCCTCCCGGCTCTCATGAATCCGCCCTCCTTTATACTCCCCACCTTAGACACGGAGAGCGAATCTCCGCTCAAACTAGCCATGCTTAGCTGCCTCCCAAGCCCAGTCGACCCGGATACAGGGCTCATAACTCCACTCCTAGTGCCTTGAGGAAATAGACTATCCCTCCACCCACCCTTCAGATTCTCCTTTTCCCCGTCAAAACCACCAATGCTTAATCGTGGGAGATGTCTCATTCCGCCCATCGCCGGAACTTTGCTAGCAGTGCCCGACTCCTTCACGACGGCGACTTCGTCACGATAAGTTTTATATTGAGCCCCTCTTCTTGTGACCCTAAATCTCATCTTTTTCTTCGGGTCATGCCCAACCCTTTCCATGACCTCCGTATCAATACTCCAAAGTCGGATGTCCTTGTCAAGGCCCCAAGATACAAGCTGGAATTCACGATCATCCAACCCATATTCGCTCTCTCCACCTCTCCACCTCCAAAGGAATTCCTTGACATGATCGGTGTGACCTGCAAATGTTTCAACAGGCGTATCTATGTGATCGGCCTCCGTCCTACGGTCCCAAAGATACAATGACGTATCACCTCGCTGTGGCATAGTTAAGATTCCCCGCCCAAATGGCGTGTGCCGGGCCCGCCACACAGGAAACGAGGTATTTATCACCCGCTCCGGCTTGTCTTGAGGGTTCGATTCATAGTTCCAAAACTTGACAGTCTTATCAAGGGCGCATGTCGCGATCCCAGACGGCCTGGTTCGGTTCCAATCCAACCCATATATCTTCGTGGAATGCGCACTTATCCTCCGTATTTCGTGTGCCCCCATTCGCATGTCCCATATGTACAAATACTTGTCATGTGAGCTAGCTAGTATGTGCTCGTTTTGTCGGTTGAATTTGACTTGGGTTGCCCCAGCGAACCAATCGCAGAAACTCATAACGGGACGCTGGGGTATTCTTAGGTCCCAACAATGTACGAATGAATCGATCGAACACGTAGCTAGGGTGTTTGGCTGATGGGCAGAAAAGTTGATATCCGTGATGGCCCGAGTATGAGAATGCAGAACATGTTCAATAGCTTTGCGGGACGGAAGAGCTAAATTCCAAACGATGGCCTTTCGGTTAGACGTCGAGACCACCCAGTGAGAGTGAGATGCGTGCGGCGACCATTGGACGTCAGCAACTGACCAAGCTGTCAGATGCTGGAGAAAGCGTGGCGGATCATATGGATTATCGAGATCTACTATATGAAGGCCCTGCCGGCTATGGGAGTTCAGTTCACAAGCGTACGACAGTTTTTTCAGGCACACTCACGAAGCTAATACCACATCCCGACTACTAGGCGATATAGACCTGGTCCACTGTCAGAAACAAACCCAGGTTGACCCCACCCCCATAAAAAACGTACATGGATCCTACAGGAGCGTCAACCTTTATCGACATATCTAGATTGAACGTCCGTGAGTTAAACGCTGACGGCGGTTCCCCTTTCGGGGAGGAAGGCTTTGGGGGGCTCATGGTAGCCGTGGTTGGGCGATCCTTCTTAGGAGGCTGTTGTGCGAAGTGTAAGGTTGTCAAAGTTCCGAAGCCTGATTACAGACCCAGCAATCAGTCCAAATCCCCTCTTAATCAAGACCACCATCCGAGAGAGGGAAAAGAAAACCTGCTACTTACGTCAAGTGCTACCGTATACACGACCTACACTTTCCGAGCAAAGGAAGGGGGATGGGCCGATAATTGAGAGCGGTAGCTTGGGTAATTCGACAATGGCCTATTTCACAAAATGGCCAAACGCTCTCCCCCCTTCCCTTCCGTATGCAAGCTAGACGCGAGCTGTCGAATCCTCCTCGCCGTAAACGCGCTCGCCCTAGAAACGGAGCCAAGAAGGGAACAATTCAGAAGACGGTTATCCTGAGGTTTGTTACCGAAGCAGCCCATACAGCTCAACACAAGGGAAAAAGCGAGGGGTAAAAAAAACAAAGGTTGCAGCGGAATAATAAATGTTGGGAGAGAACGATCCAGAGTAGCTTCGATCGTCTATGGAGGGGAGAGTGGGGGGGTAGATGTGATGAGGCAAACAAAAGGATCGTCACAGGGGTGTGTGTGTGGGTGACTGAGAGGTGGTCTTTAGACGCAGCATCTTACCATGCTGTATCATAAACTGTACAAGAAATTGATAGTCAGAGTGTTTTCATGGGGACAGTAGCATGGAAGGGAGAAGAAAAAAAGTGACAAAACGGGAACCTGGATGGAAGAACAAAAAGATGATAAGAAAACTCTTCAGGAGCCAAAGCCGATATTTCTCGGAGATACCGGTACCCAAACGGTAAGTCGGCACAAAACATTATCGACTGCCAACGGCCTGCGGCTGTTATGTAAAAAGAAACGGGGCCGATCGCGAGTCCCTTGAAACCTGTGCTGGGCTGGTTGTCAATGGGATGTTGTGCAATGCTACCGGCAACTTAACTTAGGGCACTTGATATCGCGAGGTGCATTTCCACTCCATATTCCATCCCGTTGTTGCTGCTGCCCTCGGAGGTTCGACTATACGATCACTACGAGTAGTGTCGGTGCGGTGTATCAGTAGGTGCACAGCAGTCCTGCGTCCTGTGGGCGTCCCCCGGGATTCTTACTGTAACCGGGAGCAGTCTACATACACAAACACTACAGTACCGGTAGTATCCACCGCTGGAGTATCCGCTTTCCGCATCCCCCAAAGGTCCAAGTCACCGCAGCTCCAATCTCTGATCAAGGCATCAGGAGGACTATGACTTCATTCCCTCGATCATTCCTCCCTCCGTCCAGCTGTTTCCAGCAAATTCCGGAAAAATAGTTCCGTCCAGGAATAATAATGATAATAATAAAAACATAAGTTACCGTACAGTACCGGTCCCGGCAGTGTAAAGAGTTGAATCACACCGCATCCTTGCGTACCGTTACAAATTGTAAGAACTAAGCAGAAGGCCCCTCGAGCTCCCCCATCCATCCAAGCATCAATCTCTCCCCTTCCCTCTACGGGTACTTGGCTCCACTCCAATTTCTACAAACCACCTTCGCTATCTAGTCCACGTGGTTTTAACACTCAATTGAATCACTCAATTGAATCACTCACTTTTCCCCCTCCCTCCTCCCCCTGCAACTTTCTCACCCTCTTCCCCCAGATGCGCGTGCAGGTGCATATCACGATTTAGAAAAGAAAAGAAAAGAAATCCAACATACATCGCATAATTGCCTTGACAGTTTTACATGGCATGAGGACTAGCACCATATCCCCAAAGATCCAGACGACCCGCAGATAAGGAAAGCCTTTTACCTCTCTCGAACTAACTTTATCTGCAAGCACATTCCACCCGATATACAAGTATTATAAATTGTGGAACAAACAAACCCAGCAGTTATCTTTCCTACAGCACAACATGGCCCTGAAACAATAATACCCCGGACTCTAGCTAGCTATCCCTCTGACAGCAAGTACAGTTATGGTACCGAGCAGAGGGGGCCAACCGCATATAGCTTGGCTTCATCAGTGCTCACCCCCGGCCATCCTAACCCTGCCGCCACAGTACCTACCACACCTCCCTCTCCCTTAGAGAGTAGGAAAAATCCGATTAAGAAGATTAGTATATCTCAAACTACACACCCTGCCATCTACCATCCCCCTGCTATCCCACCATATAAGCCTGAATGTACCTTCCATGTGAGCAATTTTTGCAAAGCAGAGAGTGATATATCGTGACTCCGTCCCGGAGCAATAGGTGGAAAGTATGATACAGTACTGTACAGCGCGGTGTTGCAGCAATAACCCTCAGGGTGCCAACAATATCATAAGAATCTTAGGTATGATATAATAGTACAAGTACTGTACAGCACAGTACCTCCCAAGGTTCCCGGTCCCCACAGGACATAGAGACTAACTTAGGAAAACCCTTGGGCTGTGCTGCGCTCGAGGAAGTACCGTACGGTACTGTACAGTGAGTGACACCTCTCGTTATTATATGCTATGACCCCGCAGTAGCGCCCAAACTTTTTACGACAGTGGAAGAAATAAAAAAAGTGGGGAATAGTCGGATCGCCCACGGTTTGTTTGCCATCATACCCCTCCAAAGCACACTCTTTCTGACTTACAAATTGCGCTCGAGCACAAGACCAACGGAACGGTATACCGGTAGTTATGTTACAAAAAAGACAAGTCAGAGGTTATCGGGTCAAGCTGGTCACAGGATAGATGGCATTGGTGGTGATAACGTGAAGAGAACGAACCGGGCTCAAGATATAACACTGTACAGCACAGTACATAGCAGGCGGGCATCCAAATAAATTGAATGCGATCTCTGACTGAAGGAAGAAATTCTCTATCGCTCCCGTCGAACATCCAAACCCGGGAAAGAAAGAAAAAAATAGATAGAAAAGATATAATACATTAGGGACATCTACCTGGGGCCTGCATCCTTTTTCGTCCCACGTGAGCAGCCAGGCTCTCTCCCGAGGGCACTATAGATAAGCATTAACTTAACTTATTGTGTGGTACGGGAATTTTTAAATGCGCTCATTTGCCCTCTCCCACCACCACCACCGCCATGCTTTGGGGAAGGCTCACTGCCTCCGAGGCCACGGCGCTGAAAGACCGCAGGTTCGCGGGAATATCATACCCAATGTACAATGCCAGCCTCCGTCTCGATGACTAGGGGGGAAACTGGCGATCGCATCCTAAGATAGCCTGCCTTATTCATGTTACACTGATTGAAACAGTTTCAACTATAACCCCCCCACCCCCCGAAGCTGTTTCCCAAGATGGTCACACGTACTACAGAAATCCTCAATCACTCCAGGGACCTAGCATTTCATAGGGGAGAATTCAAACTGGAAAGACCGAATCAAATGCAGATTTCTATTCCGCAGTCCCCGACTAACTTATCTCCAACTCCCGAGTACAAGACATGTGAAATAACAAAACTGGGCATACACAAAAGAGCGCACGAGAAAAATAGTAGGTTGGGGTGAACGTTAAGTTTGAAAGAGCAATGACCATCTCCGACCGCCTCCTTATAGCTCGTATCGCTTTATAAGTACAAACCGATAGATTAAAAAGCAGTCATAAAGTTATGTTTGTTGGGAGAATGAGTGAACAAGCTGCTACTCTAGACTCTTGCGTGGGTCATGGTCCATTCCCTTGCTATGTTCCCGGAAGCAATCATAGATTAGCAAAGATACTCCTTGCACTCCAAACCAATGGGTTGATAAAAATTACCAGTCTCGATAGCAGCCCTCTCATCTTCCTTCCATCTCTGGGCAACATCATTTGCCAGCGGGTCATCCGGGTTAGGCGCCCCGAGGAGAGCTTGAATACTCAAAAGTATGGTACGGATCTGAAGCGCAGGGGACCAGTTTCCTATTCCAAGACAAGAAATCAGTTCCTTGCCTACCAAGGGACCACCAGACCCAAACCATGGAACAGTATAAACCAACCTTTGAGCACATCCAAGCAAATTCTCCCAAGTTTGTCGATATTCGGGTGGTAGATCTTGGTAAGAAATCTGATCTTCGGGGGTGTCATGGGATAATCCTCGGGGAGGAATAGCTCGAGACGGAAGATTCCTCCCTCATACGGGCTTTGAGTGGGGCCATGGATCTAAATAAACCCCTCAGGTAGCGTCAGTAACCTGCATCCGAACCGGACGAACAGACGCGCGAACGGACAGTAACATCGAAGTAACGCAAATTATCTTCGTGCGGGACGGCGTTAATTCCTGGAACTCTGCATGTTTGAAAAATATTATTTTCTCATGTCAGCTGGGTACCTCAAAAGCGTTAGTAAATACATCTCCACCAGGTCGACACGTGAGGCAGCCCCAGGTAGAAATGTATGAAAAAAGCGGATCTTTCCAGATCTCCAGCCAGCGCAGACAGAATGGTGAGTGCTTACGGTTCAGCAACCAGACGTTCGGTCTCTTTGATTATGCGCTTTGGAAGGGCCATCAGAGCGTTGAGGATGAGGTTGATGGGGCGAAAAGAGTGCGGGGTTGTTGGGTATATTGAGGATGGAGATGGTGGGGCGGGAGCTTGGTGGGGTGGTTAGAACTGTTTGCCGTCCGTATTTGCGGCGTCGGTATAGCAGGCTTTCGGGCAGTGGCAGAATAGGGGAGAGATGCGAGATGAGTACTGTACTAGCGTTTTTTCTCAGTTCCCTAACAAAGGGTCAATACCGGCAGCGGATGTTTCTCTGAGGGAAGAGACTTGCCACAGAAGCGGGGAGGACACACAGAGCCCTTCGACAGGATATCACGTGTGATTACCGTAGTGCGTACTAAAATAACTCGACAGGACCATGGTGCACAGCTCACTGCACTCTACGATCGCGTTCCAAGTATCATACTGCACAGTGCAGTACAATGGTTTGTGTATCAATGGCCACCAGATTCCCAGCGACCGATTGAACCAGCACGTAAATATGTAGATATGCAGTTCACAAGTTCAAGGTGCAGTTTTGAATATTTCGCGATGGTAAACGGAAAAGGGATAACACAACTCAAACACCGCAACAAACCCCGGTCACATCACTCCAGGGCCAATTTTCTGGATACCCCCAGCCCCGATAGCAATATTTCCCTAGCAGCTCATAAGTCATCACTTCAATTATGATACTGTACCAGCTACCCCAATGCACTACCCAGCGCGCGGCGCCCCACGACACGGTACCATCAACAGACGCTAATATTCGTGCTCCAACCAAGACACCAACACAGAATACATACCTGTACGATACCGCAAGAAGTTCCAAAACCATGGCGATAAAATAAGGAAACTATACACCGCGCATCAATGTCACTCACCCGTCTCAGGCCGCCAGAGCTTAAGTCAGGCTTCCATATCCTTCCCCCACCGGAAGCTTCCACAACGATCTCTATAGCATACATTTGGTGCAAACATACTTACTTGCACACCGACGCCATAAGGCGCCTTGGGGTTCTCTAGAACTAACGCGAGGGGAGTTCAAATTCTACACACAATATGGTAGCCATCATATGCATAAATATATACAAACTGGCCTTTGCATCTTGCTTGATGTAAAACATTGAGCCCAATATTCAGCGACCTAACAGGAAAAAGGGATTGTTCCGTCTCGCCATCACAATGGCTCATCCGAGCAACGAAATCCAATAAGGGGACCTTCTTTGCCGGCTCCAAATTCTTGCCGTGGGTCAAAAATATGCACCTACACCGTACGAGTACTCCTACGGCTCGATTCCTCCTTTATTCTCATAGTGCAATAAGAGCTTCGAATTTTCTCACCACTTCCACTTAGGAATAGCTCGGCCCATAGTGCCAGTGCATCAAGGAATAATAGAGGGAAAGTTCCCTTTGTATGGTACGGTGACATAGCTCATCGTCAATTGTGCATTTTACACCAAGAAATTCAATGGCATTAATTTTATTGTCACTTTAGAACGCAACAACCATTATTATCATAAACCCGCGATTAAAAAGGGATCGCCCATTGTCAGTAACATATTAGGGTCTTGGGTATTTCCCTACAGATTTGGGTTGTGTGTGAACACCTGATATCATATCGGCAGTTTTCCAATCAGGTATGGCACGATACCTTTTTTCATTGGCACTCATATAGTCTTGTTTTTGGCCCTTTTGCTGAAGTTTAGAGATCATCTGCGAAGAATGGCTTACATTAGGTGGGCCATGGCTTGGTTGGCGGAGTTATACTCAGAATTCGAATCCTTAGATTCTTAGCTACTTGTGTATATATATATATGTATGTATGTATGTATGTACGAACCGATCTATATAATAATTCACGAGAGGATTGGCATGGAAAGTGTAGAATTATAATAGCCCCCGTATGGTCCCGATGTGCTGCTATGAGGTACGATGATCGACTGGTCATGGGCTTCTTCCAATAGCTACATAATGTATCAAACCCACAATACCTGCTAAGAGTGGCTTTCTCCAGCCTAAGACAAAGGCGGTAGCATTTCCTTTCACCTCTCCCTACAGGGCTATTATTCGAAATCCTAACCTGCAGCACGAGGTCAGCAGACATAGAAACACTACAGGTACGCGTTTGAGTTCGCCAAAAAATCCTGATCCCACGCCACGCACAGGCACCCAAGACGAGAGAATACCGTAAGTTACTCGAATACAAAAGAAATGTGCTATGTCGTTGAAATTCCCTCACCATCTGGAATAATGGTAGGCAAATCACCTCAAACTTAGACCCGAGCCGAGACAGGAAAGAAGGAAAAATACAGAACGCCTTACTACGTACGAGAAGCAATTACGTCTCCAGCACAATTTCTCCCATACTCGAGTACTTATTGTAGTCAGTATTGGAAATTCTGGAAGAGCAAGACTGTCCTGCACAAGTTGTGGGACCTGCAAAAGGTCCTCTCCTTTTACGATAGAACCGCATTTATACTCGTGCCAAGGTTGTGGCACTCTAAAGAGTGCCTGACAGCTCAACGGTACTTTACGGCTCAACAGCACTTTGTGGCTCCCCATAGTAACTCTGTGGCTCAATGGTACTTTGTGGCTCAATAGAACTTTGTGAATAAAATGAGATTTCAAGACAAGATTATCTGATCAAGTACAACTTCATAATTATAATAGTTTATTATTATATATAACTAGTAGTTAAACATACTAGTAACAATAAAAGTTAAAAGAATACAGTATTTCAAATTACATCAATTTTTGCAACCTTACTTGTTGCTTAATTCACATTACTATGAGTCTTGATATCTTCTTTTTATGTACTTGAGCTGCATGTCAAGCTTTTCCTCTAGCCTTTATCTCATCAAAAAATAGTTTACGCTGTGCTTTCTCAATACTTTTTTGAGCATTTTGCACTTTATGGATTTGTTTTTCTGCCTTCTCAACATCAGCAGCCTCTCTACTCAATGAATTTTTAAGTAATCAGAACGGGGAAATCGGGTTATGCAGGTATAAGTGAGGCTTAGCAGCAACCAACTCGGTTACACTACGGCTGAGATGATATTTTCTTGCATCACCTTCTCTTCCAGTTTTATCAGTTACTATCAACTACAATGGCCCATCTAGATTTCAAGTGAGGTATGCAATTGAATGAAAAGCTAATAGGAGATAAAGAGGTAAAGCTAACTGCAGTTTAGGTAAAGAAATAACACCAAGAAGACGTGCTGCAATAATTACATTACGCGTCCTTGACCTACCATATCACGCGATACGAGTGCATACTGGAGTCGTAACCTCTACCGCAAGTAATATCTACATTCAAGCCATCAAAACGGCCACCCTCTTGGCAGCAAAGCAGCAAAAGGAAGTACCTTTCTAGCTTTCAGAGCTTATAGGTGTATGTGAGAGTGGGTTAGGGGCTTCAGATATAGGAAGAGTAGGAGAGGATATTCCGGGACTCCTGGACGAAGGGAATAGAGAGCCAGAAGTTTCGGAAGTAGGAGGAATTGGGGCAAATATTCTGGGACTCCTGGATTAAGGGAATGAAGAGGCAGGAGTGTCGGAAGTAGGAGATAGGGGAGGGAGAACACTGGGACACTTAGTTAGAAATGATGGTGAGCCAAGTGCCTCAGAAGAAGGAGGTACAGGCGGAGGAATTTTGGGTGGTATGGGCAGAGAGAATATTGAACCAGGAGTCCTGGAAGTGGGAGGAGGCATGAGGAGGGGGATTCCGGGACTCCTGGATAGAGAGAATAGTAAACCTGAGGCTTTGGAAGTGGGAAGTTTGGAGATTGGGGTTCTGGAGGTCCAAGTCTCAGGGGTGGAAAATATACAAGTGATAGCTTTAGAGTGGCAAGATGGATTAGATAATACCATCAGAGTGTCAGCTGGTGAAGCAGATTGTTGGAGCTTTGGAATGCTGGGAATAGGATCCAATGGAGAATCAATAAGAAATGATGCCAGGTTTTCATTCCTGGATCTTATTGGTATGAAGAGTATCAATTCAAAGCACTGTTCCAGCTGGCCACAAGCATTATCTAAAAGCAAAAAAGACTTCCTAGTAGAGTTTGTAAAACGCGATTTTACATCACGCCAGATGGCTCTAGTTGTTATCCGCTGCGAGTTTGAACTCTCACATGTTCCTGATACTACCATTTGGAAGGCATTAAAACAGAGGGTGTAACGATCCCTCCTTGGATGGTTAGGTCTTGGCGACGGGGAACGATACTTCTCTTTTTCTTTTTCTTCTCTTCTTTGTCTTACGATAGCGCTAGGCCTTTGCCTATGTTACCGATAGTACAAGACCTCTGTCTTCTATCAGAAACGCCTATGGTAAGCTTTCTCTAACTCTTCTTCGTAAAGAACTTTTCTTGGCGTAACGATAACGTTGCAATAAAGATAAAGATCGTAAAGGTGTTTTATATTCGTTAAAATAATCAGTAGGAAAAGTACTTAGAATTCAATCTAATTTTATTTATACTAGTACTACTGACACCGGTATATGACCAGTCTCCCCCACGCCCTGCAAAACAAACTATCTAAAACACACTACCGCGGACCATTCCACCTCGCAATCGCTCCCCCCGAACATAAATCAAAAAATCACTACCTAAGTGGGCTCACAGGCACTCGCAGCAACTAGTGCTGTCCCGGATTAATGCGTCTTCCCACCTCGCTACCCAGCCACTATCTCATACCCTCACCCCTATCTGCCTCCAACACAATCTGTCTCACGTACTCAATAAAAGAAACATACAGTCTATCCCAACATCCTTCCGTCCTCTTATAATGTTGTCCCAGGTCCAAGTACCCCTCAGCCAAAACCATCCCACAAAATGAACAACGCTCTTCTTTCAACAACACATTTATCTTAGCCCACCGCAAAACTACCGATGTTCGAGTTACGAGGTCCAGCTCATCCCACTGTTGGTACCACGAATGCCAAAACCAATCATGACATGTCCGTAAACAGCGGGGCTTCTTCTCAAAGTGTTCGGCGAATGTGATCCGCTTTTGGGTGGCCGTTGCGGAAATCGCGGTCCCACAATAGGGACAGTCGCATCGTTGCTGGTCGGGCAAAAAGAACCACTTCTTCAGCATGGTTACCAATCCCGGCAGAAACCGTCCACTTCTATCGTGTTTCTTCTCGCACCGGGTACAGGTCGTGGGATCCCCTACCATTGCCAACCGGCCACTTCTTTCCACCATCAGTGTGCAGTCAAAGGAGTTACCTGCTACTACCAACTCCCCGTCCACCGTTTCAACATTCCAGGGAATC